ATGCCCTGGGAGGGGGCGGCAAGGGCACTTTAATTAGAGTGGTTCCAAGAGCTACTCTTAAGTGTCCAGAGCATCTCATGTATCAGCATCCCCATGCTTAAAAATGGCAGCAGAGGTGCTTTATTTAAAGTGGGCTGAACAATATGGGCACTATATTTGCCCTTTTCAAATCACCTGGGATCTCTTCCAATTGCTATGAGTTTTCAAAGATAATGGCCAGTGGGTCTGCCATCACTTCTGCCAACTCCTTCAGCACCCTTGGGTGCATCACATCTGGCCCCATGGGCTTGTATGAATCCAGCTTTTCTAAATAGTCCCCAACCTGTGCTTTTGCCACTGTCAGCTGCTCACCTCCTCCCCAAACAGTTCCAAGAGGTGCAGCAGTCTCAGAGCTGACCTTGCCTGTGAAGACTGCGATAAAAAAAGGCACTGAGTACTTCAGCTTTTTCACATCATCTTTTACTAGGTTGCCTTCCCCACAATTGTAAAAAAACCCACACTTGCCTTGATCTTCCTTTTGTTGCTGACATATTTGTAGAAACCTCTCATTACTCTTCACATCCCTTGCTTGCTGCAACTCCAACTGCGCTTTGGCCTTCCTGATTTCATCCCTGCATGCCCAAGCACTTTTCTTATACTCCTCCCTAGTTGTTTGTCCAAGTTGCCACTTATAAGATTCCTTTTTGTGCTTAACTCACTGAACGGTTTCCTGCTAAGCCAAGCTGGTCTTCTGTCATACTTGCTAGTCTTCCTGAGCATCGGGATTTGTTCTTGTGCCCTCAGTAAGGTTTCTTTAAAATACAACCGGCTCTCCTGGACTCCTTTCCACAGGATAGCTGGTTGTATTTTGAATTGAGAGGTTTCATTTTTTGTTGCTCCTGCAGCTATTGAAACCCTTTATTAATTTATCAGATGCTGAACTGGACAAGTGTAATCCATCTATTTAATATAGGTCATGGCTGTCCCCAAAATTACTTCAATATCCTAAAGATCTACATAGTTACTCTGTGAATCAGGGTATGATGCACGTACCATTTTTCCTGTCATTTTAACAATTTATCTAGAAGAGGAAACCATTTTCAAAATGCTACACAAGATGTTGGCCTCTAAAAACTAAAATTTGCTTTTGAAAGTGTCCATATTGTTCCAACTGTAGTGACCACTGGGTTCACATAGACCACTGCCTATGCTAATCTTGGCAGCCATGGCTTTTTTATTCCACCAAATCCCTGTTAGCAAATAAATCCACCCAGTGCTTCCTCTGCTGTTGCAATCAACCTATCAACCTCTCATAAGCTCTTTACTTTGTTCCTTTGTAGGCAGGTTATGATGTTGTAACAAACAGGAACCACTTCTGAACTGATAAATCCAGGCTGTGATTGCACTTACATAAATTAAAGCTTGAACAGGGAAGTATTCATTAGCTGTCCCATCCTACCCCTGCATGCACACACGAAGTCCTCTCCCCCCACCCTAAATTTATGATTACTAATGTAAATACATTTCTGAGTGGTCATCCTCCTTTAGACTTTTAGCACTTGGGCTAGGGGGAGGGAGGAAAGGAGAAAGATTTTCAAACAAAACAGCCTATAAAAGGATATGAGCTATGCTAAAAAAGAAGTGGTCAACTGCAGCATGTGCACCATGGGAAGCCTGTGTGGAACACTCAACAGGTCAGCGAGAGAACAGGCAGTACAGCAGTAGATAGAGCAGGAAACAAAGCAAAGAAACAAATTAGGTAGGGGAAGGGGATTGGAGTGGCATTCAAGGAGAGTACAGGGTTAATTTGTGGAGCGCCTGCCAAAAAAATGTACCCCTCCCCACACTATTGTTTAAGCCATTTAGTTAGCTCAGCTTCCATCTTGAGCTACAGACAGACAAAGAAGAGGCCTAGCTTACGTTGTCCTAACCAGCCCGGATCCTCCTGGGAGCCTGAGGAGGTCGCCATCTGCTTCTCACAGCTGGACCTTCTTTGCTCAAGCTCACACACTTCAAGGCTGCTCACTCCAATGTTTTCTCTTGGGATATTGGCTAAATTGCCCCCAAGCCATAACTAAAAGCCAAGAGGCAAACCCTGACCACTCAGTCCTACTCTATGCCCGCCTGGATTTTAAGACAGGTGTAAAAAATCTGTTATATAAATTCGAAATCTACTGCAGTTTAAAATGTCCTTGAAAAAAATGGAGACTTTTGAATTGGAAAACAACAAATCACTGCAGTAATAGCCATTGCTTTTGTCTTGTATATTTATTTCAGTTTAATGTTGCTCTAAATTTTCAGTATGTCAGTTCTAAATAGACAATACAGATTAACTCCCTAAAAACCATAAACAGGATAAGCTCGATATTTTAAAACTGAGAAGTCAGATAACAACATCTCCTGTGATGTGGCTTCTTGTTAATTAGTTCTTGGACTGAGACCGGTATCACATTTCTCATAGACAATATTGGCTTTTCAGTTCTGAACCAGCTCCCTCCTAGTCCCTTATCCCTATTCTTTTTAAGCCAGGTTTCCAGTGACACATTTGCAGTTTTGATGATCTGTTAAGACAGATTGATGCTACCAGAAGGACATGACACGGTAATATTGAAGCTTGTGAAACATTTATGTTGCAGTATTGGAAAAGTAAAATAAGGTTTACAGCTCATTCTGCAGATAAAGTATCTTGCTTTATTGGACCTGGAACTTAAAATCCACTCATAACAAGAGTATACCACCTGTACATTTGCAAGGTTTCTTTTAAGTCTCAAAATGGCTGCTTTCATTCTGTAATTATAGACTTTTAAAATGCACTAATGACTCTATAAAATGCCACATCAAATATCTGTTCAGTATGATATGCTTCAAACCACTTTCCAGATCCCTAATTTGAGTTACTTTATCAGAGTCGAGTATTATTTGAGTTGCTTTAGTAGATCCCCATTTGTTTGTAATAAAGTGTCACGGGGGGGG